ATTGCAGATGTGCCCCTCCTACCGTTTTGTTGTGGTTTCTTCTTTGTGTCTTTGCATGTAGAATGTCTTTTTTTTTTTTTTTTTTGGTGGATTCAGTCTTTTTTATTGATGGTTGCTCAGCCTTCGGTTATGATTTTGGTGTGCTCATGAGAAGAGGGTAGCTCAAGGCCCTTCTACTCCACCATCTTGTCTCGTCTCCATTTCAAACTTTTGGGTGTATTTTTTGCACATTTTTTTCTCAATCTAAGTCTTCAGAGTTGTACCTTACTTATCACTGTCAAAGTTTTATATCTTTAATTTTAAAGACATGCTTACAAGCTACAGGGAATAAAAAGGACTGAGGCAAACAATGTTAGGACTTCAATGTCAGACCAACTGGATTTAATGAATTAACTGCTCCAAGGTGAGAGCATTTTACCTGTCCCCTGCCCCACAGTGCAAAGAACAGGGCTAGAGATATGATAATATGCATTTCATCAATGTAATCATCCCCAGCATATTTTCATAGGTGTAACTTACTGAGTTCTTACTATGTGCTAGGCATTGTTCTAAATATTTTTCTAGCAATATCTCATTTAATGTCCATAACAATTCCATTTGGTTGTTGGTGGTGTTTTCTATATTTCTGATGAGAAAACTGAGGTTCAGAAAGAGAGAGCTACATGAACAAGTTCACCCAGTTTCTAACCAGCAACGTAGGTGCCAAATCCATGACTGTCCACACTGGTTCAGGAAATGCCAAGCAGAAAAGAAATCCACCATGACCTCATTAGATTGAGCAGTGAAGGAGAAACATCCTTCCTTGTTATCAAGACCATATCCTCCATGTAGTTGTAACACATAATGGATACTAAGCATCCATCCTCTGTGTAAGTTCTGGTCCTTTCCATCTGTATGAAACTGAGCTAATTATCTTTACACCTTTGAAGTGATAGCCTGTAGATTTGAGGAACTAGCAACCCGTGGCTTGCTGTATCGATCTCTGGGAATAAACACACACAGAAAATTCCAAGGATTGAATCCTACAACAGGTGTGGGGTTGAAGCCATGGACGTCTTATAAAAAGACATTTTAGATTTTTTTTTAAACATCTTTATTGGAGTATAATCACTTTACAATGGTGTGTTAGTTTCTGCTTTATAACAAAGTGAATCCGTTATACATATACACATGTTCCCATATCTCTTCCCTCTTGCACCTCCCTCCCTCCCACCCTCCCCATCCCACCCCTCTAGGTGGTCACAAACCACCGAGCTGATCTCCCTGTGCTATGCGGCTGGGGCAAATACTACTCAAGTGGTAAATTTTGGGGGAGGCTTTAGCAGTTTCCAAAGTGAGGGCTTTGAACAGTGATCATTTTGACACTTTTTCATCTTTATAATGAATCTTCTATAAAAAAAGATTCCCATCAGAGAATCCCACCACTTGAGAGAAGAAAGAGGCCCAGAGACCATCAGTTGTACAGTCTTGTTTACAGATTAGGAAACTCGGGCCCAGGGAAAGCAAGAAACATACCTGGCTCCTCTGGAGCAGAGCTGGGGCTGGAATCCAGTGTATTCTCTTCTACCACGAGTATCTGTTTCATCCTCATAGCCCCTTCAGCTGGAATCTAAAGCATTTGAACATTGCATGTGACACATGTTGCAGAGGAGAAGTCCCTGAGCTTTGGTGAACTCTCCCTGTCACTAGTTAGCTATGTGTTCTTGGGCAGTGTTTTAATCTCTTGGAACCACAGTTTTCTCCTCTGCACGGTGCAGTTGCTGGACTTGCTATCTGGAGTCATTTTACTACCCTAACATGTGACTCTGTGATTTTAATCTATCCGTGAATGAACTTCTACTTTTCACAAAGCACATGATCTTCTTTTTCCTCATTAAGATTCTCTGCATTTCTAATGAAAAATGACTTTGGAACCAGAATTCCAAAGACAGACAAGCTCTAAGTAAAAGATAAGAGAGACATTTTCAGATATGCAAGAACTCAAAAATTTATTTCCCTAGTTCCTAGTTTTAATAAGCAATTTGTGGCTATACTTCAGCACACCAAGAAACTAAGATACATGTGGGCATCAAGAAGTGACAAGACAAATGCAGAAGCCCAGAAGGAGAACATCCTAAGGAGATAATTGGTCAGTTCATCAGAATTAGAACAGGAAGCCAGTGGCCTCTGAGAAGGATGCCTTCACGAGAAAGAATGGAATGAATTCCAAGAAATATCAGGGAGCTAGATGATACTAGGGACGTATTTTTAAAAAATTACGTGTGTATGTGTGTGTTTTATCTTTCAACAAGAACAAAGATAAATAATGAACACCAAGAGAAAGAAATTCATAAAAACAAAATCGAAGAGTCTAAATATGAAGGCAGAGCGATCCAAAAAAAGTCAGAAAAGTGAAATTCTTTGATCCAGATGAAGGAACATTGACTTTCACTGGCATTGGGGTCATGGTCTTGAGTGGTTTCAGGAAAGTGTGATTGTCACACACTGTGACCCTCTGCAGTGCATACTAAGACGCCAGGCTAGTGAAACTCCATGCCCCTGCTTCCAAGTCTTAGAATAAAATTGGACAACACATAGAACTTCTAATACTGGTACCAGACACGGTATAAAAGTTTACATCTGTAACAGGGAATATAGTTAACAGAAGTTGAGAAGGGGAAGAAGGGAGAAAAGATGGGAATGTGCTAAGATTCACACAAAATCTTCTTGGCTGCCTCTGTGACCAGAGAGTGGCAGGAAATGGAACTGAAGTGGGACAACACAGGAGACTGTAATGTTTTGTTAAGAAATAAAAGCTGGGTAGACAGTAACAGGCATTATTCCCAGCCTTGTGTGAGCTGGTTACTGTCCCTCATCATCAATTTGGGTGGTTCTTTCTCCAGCCTCAGGTAGCTTCCTCACTAGCATACACTGATAAGTATTTTACTGACTAACTGAGTGGGGGTTCTCTGCGGATCTCTGGGGTTATCTCTCTGTTCAGATCTCTCTTCTCTAATACTTGGCGCCATGAGCTCTAGCTGCCTTGGTCTCCCAAGCGCTCAGCTCTGTCTCCCCAACTTAGGAAATCTGCCAGGCTCTCCCTCAATTTCCCCTCCCTGAGCTACTGCCAGGAAACTCTCTGAAGTCTGTAAAATGGAGAAATCATAGAGCTCATCTTATCTGATTCTCATCAACCAGGGATTATTGTCTTTTTTTGCCTGAGTTCCAGTGTCTTAACAATTATTGTTTTATATACAGAATGTTTTTTTTATTTAGTTGGGAGAGTAAATCTGGCCTCTGTTAGTCCATCTTGAAAGCAGAAGTCATTTTAAAAAAAATTTCTGCTTTATCAGAGGTCTCTTTTAGTTTCTGCCTTCCCAGACAGCCAACTCTTTGCTTACCTCCCAATTTTGAAAATCTAACTTAACCCCCTAAAAGATAATATTCACACCAACTCCATGTAACAGCCAGTAACCAAAGAAAAGAAACTAATTGTAGTTCTAATTTTTATTCTATACATTTCCACACAATTCACAATACAGAAAAAGTGTCCAAAAAGTAACTGTAGCTAGTCATTTCTTTTTCAGAGATTAGTTCAGTCTCCCAAATTAATTCCATTGAAAATCTCTGTAGAGCAACACAGTGATCAAGATACTTTGTATAAATAGGAAATGCAAGAAAATTAGGGAAAAATACTTTATGACTTTGTTACAAAAAAACTCCATTCTTCCCCACCCCACCCTTCCCACCCACCCTCCCTCCATTTCATATTATCTGGATCCTACTTTACCTGGAAATAAAACTTCATCATCCTACTGCCACAGATGCTACTCTCTTTTGGATTCCACCTGCCAGCTGGCAGCTTTGCAAAAGCATGGCTCTGGGATGTGATAGGGCAGAATCAGAAATTATGAAAGAGCCCTTTATAATGTGACTGCAACTCTTCCTACAGATATAGCCTTTGAGAGTGGACTACCCACAGCCAAGGGCACTCTGGATGCCCAGGAACTTTTTCCCACTCAGGAATCAAATTAAATGAAATATATTCATTCTTATGGAACTGAGATTGTCCTCTATTTCTTTACAGGAATGGTTTTCCTCATTTTCAATCAGCTGTAGTCCATATAATACGCAGATTCATGGCTGTCAACTTAATTATTGGTAATTAAAAAAAAACAAACAGCCTAGCTAACCTTTAACTGAGACTAATGTGGACCCTAACTTATCAAAGATGTGTTTTGCAAAATATTCTATTGTGCTAGAATATTTTGTCTATAAAATTTCCAAATCTCACTCCCCAGGATGGCAAGAACCCCACACTTCCCAGCCCACAATCAGGATGTTAGCAAGCATCAATCTAGGTTCCAGTTGCATTGGAAATTATACATGTCATCAAAGCCTCAGTCCAACCAATGGAGGAGGGGGGCAGGGGATGAAAGATGTTACTGATAATAAAACCCAAAAGGTTGGGAACCATTTGGATTCATTACACAAGTTGCAGTAAATATCAAAGCTAAACTCTATCTTAAAAGTTGATAAATCTCACTAACCTATTTGAGAGAAATTACTCATAAATTTAAAGCAAAATATAGGATAAACCAATTTCTGGCTGTCATCTGTTTATTTTTACAATTTGTAAACATCTCCTATCTCTGTAATTCTTAAGAGGAAAGGTTATATAGTCTCAGAATTTGTAAGGATTATGAAAAACTTCCTAAGTTGTCCTTATTTTTCTCAAATTTTATCATAGATCTGCATAAGTCTGTGGTCTAACCTCCTAATGAACACTTAGAGAAAATCCTTCAAAATCAAGCCAGTCCTTTGGAAAGCTCTACTAGAAAGTTCTTTCTATTAGCAGAGTCCTGTTTTCCCCTAAATTCCAGACATAATCTAATTCTTCTAAGCAGCATATGTTGAAAATTTCATAACTGATACTCCTTGAAGCCACTCTAAACAAATTCACTTTTTTTCTGTATCTTCTGAATTTGCTTTTCATGAGGATCAAAGTTTGCTGAGGGGACATATTACTTATTTGTGGGTCACCATGGCAATTTAAGACTAAGAGCCTTATTATTGTACTATACTTGAGAATTTTTTTCCCCCATTACTGTTTTTTCTCACCTTCCCGAGATAGAGGCAGGAGGGGCGGGGGACAAGGTGGGGTGGAGCGGTTCCCTGAGCAAGACTCCAGATACGGGCCCGCTTTTCAAGGTGATCTCAAGAATGACTCCCACCCCCATGCAGCCAGCCTGAAATCTAGGAGCTCATGGAAGTAAGGGAAGGATGGCAATTAACACTAGTTCACAGGCGGAAACATCACAGAACCTTAGTCTGGGGATATGAGGTTGAGCTCTAATTCATGACAGTAAGTTATAAAAATTGCCTCCATGTTTTTTGTACCAGAAAATACAGGGATCTTCTGCCCCCTTCTCCAAGCCCCAGTCCCAACTGCACACCCCAAACAAAAAATGGGTAGAAAGTAGGAAACTGAACACTAGATCCTTTGTTTTCACTTCAGTTCCTGAACTTGTGACGGTTATGCCTTTGTAGAAACATATCTTATTCAGGAGATTTGGGAATTGGCAAACAGTGGTGGGTGTATGTGTGTGTAAGCAAAGCAGATTTCTTTTAGGGTCATGAAATACCGGCTTCTAAATGATCTGGGATATATTTACAATGTCTGCTGTTTTTACAAAAACGCTTTCATTGCATCTATACGGCAGGAACCTGAGAAAAGGGGCTCTGACTGAGTTCTGCCCCAGTCCAAAATCACAGAAATCGAAACCTGGAAAACATCACAGATGTCTTTTAGTCCAAGCAGTTGCTTTAACATGATCCCTGATCTGGTTGTTCAATTTTCACTTACATACTCGCTGCCGTAAGTTCACTGTTGGAAAGCCCAATCCACTTTTCTGGATGTAGTGTTTAGGGAAAACGAAACCCTTACATAAGAAATAAAGCGCCTCCTCTCCATGTCTGTTGTGATCTGGTCTGTCCTTGTTTTACTCTGCAAACTGTCCGCCCTACAGAACTTGAACCTCGCAGTCCTAGTTAAGCCACATCTCCTCCAAACGTTCCTATTCCCAATCCAAATTTGGCTGCTTCCCAGATCAAACACCCCTCTTCTACGTATTCATCAAACTGCTCACAGAGGGGCCTTGTAAATACAAGATTCAGAACAGAAGGATATCTCAGGCCTGTCCGTTCTTTCTACCTCAAGCGTGGCATCTTCCCATGGGTGCATTAGACCTCTACGTATGTGACTGTGTATGATGGATTTAGCCTTGTATACCCACCCCAAACTTCAAGCAATGGAATCTTGAATGGCAAGACCATTTCAACACTTTTTGGTGCAGCATTCTGTAATAATATTATTCCAATAGTGGCTTCCAAGGAGAGAAAATAATACCAACATTTTTAAATGCTGAGAGTCACAAAGTAGAGAAGCCAGGAAGTCCCCTTCAGTGTTATTTCGTGAAATCCATCCCGGTACCAAAATATTTGCCCTTTTTTTTCCCCTTGAAATTTTTCCAAGCTGATAAGCCTCTGAGAGCAAAAATCCTAAATTTTTAACACCATATTCTCCCTCAGTCCTAACCAACCCACGCTGTGGAATCTTAGGTAAATATTTTTTCAAGGATTCACCTTCTAAATGATGGAAAACTGAATGATGGCTGTAAAGTAGCATTGCAAGCAATGGTGAAAAATCACTTAGAAAACATCTGTTGTAGACACGTTAGTCGGTAATATCTAAAGATCTTAGTTGTGCTATAGTTCTGCCACTTACCACGTGAATCTGTGTTAGTTGAGTTCATTGCTCTGAGATTCCATTTATTCCTTTAAAATGCACTATCTGCCTTATCCACCTCAGGGCTTTACTGAAGCTCAAAAGTGTCAAAAATGCATCAAAATGCTAAAGCAGTAACAGTCTAAAACTACCGAAGTTGTTACTAATAAATTGTACAGATTTGAGTTGTTGAAATTATTTTTATTGAAGCCTGTATGCACTAAATGATTGAGAAACAAGATAATTTCAGTTGTTCCCATCACTAAAGTCTCCCATGTCAGATGCCATTTGGCTCAAAATACTGAAACTATGGAAAATGGGTAAAACCCAGAATCATCGCTTTCTTATTTCCATGGGTAAACCCTCCCTTGTAATTATCATGCCAGTAGCAGAAGCCAAGGCACTTTCCATGATTGCCTTTCATGTACATTTACTTGGACCCCAAATATATTTTAGGCAGGATTTTCTTCTGTGGTTATACCAGATTACATTTAATCCTAAGAATATCAAATCACAGCACTTTTTTATATTGAATGGATAGTAAAACAGATTTGTAATAGGACTTCACTTAAGAATGTCTGAGAATATTCATGAAAATTCATAATGCTTCCAGAAGTGTTTTGGAGTAACTTACACCTCTTAGTATGCTTTCTTTTCATTAGCTCTTAAATTCATGCTTAGTTTTGAGATTTTTAGATGATAACTAAGTGTCATTCTCTTTAAAGACTCTCTTACAAAGTGATGTTTTAAAAGATTAAAAGTCAAGATTTTTATAAAATTTTAAAATGAAACCCTGCCATTCAACAAAGTCATTTTAAAAGAACGTTTAAAAAACTCCCAGAATCTAATCCAGCCCCCTCAGATTCATGTCCCGAGTCACAACACCCCTCCAGGTGGTCATGTAGCCTCTGCTTAAATACTCCCCATGACTACAAGTTTCTAATTCTGGGCCCACTCTGCTGTTGGACGATATTTATGCTTCACCTTTATATTCGGTCAAAATCCACTGCAAGTTCTGCCTCTTGTTCCTAGTTCTGTCCTTGAGAAATAGGATAAACAGTTTTGGCTCTCATTTTAGTCGTGTTTCTAAGTCTCATCTTAAAGTCTTGGTTTCAAATCCATTTTTTAAGAACAGTGCCAAGACCCTAAGGAAAAGCAAATGCGAACTATTTCTTCTTTCATATTCTCATTTCATAGAACTAAAATGTGGCTAGCTAAAGAACGATGGCACAACAAAAGCTGACCTGCAGGGCATGCTCCCCTAGTACCATGGGCTTCTTCTGTACAGAACTTATCAGATTGGAATTTGTATGTTCTCCTAGACTGAGCTCCATGAGGTCAAGAGTTTTGTCTCTTGCGTTCATTCTTATATCCTTGGTATGGTGCCTGCATCAGAGTAAATGATAAACATATTTTAAAATAAATGATTAAATACATAATTGTATGATCAATTCTGTGAACAGATGATTGCAGGTGAAATGAATGAATGCATGTATAAAGAGACTCTAGAATCTGTCCACCATGACGATACCATCCAATATTCAAATCTCTGCTTTAAAATGTAATGCTTCAACAGCCTAAGAATTATTTTTTCTGCTTTTTTGGGGGGACCAGTTCAGTAACTCTGGGTGTCCTGGGCAAGCACACTGTCAGGAGCACTATTCCTTGCTTAGTTCCTATTTTTAGGTTTCTTACTAAACTGCGGGGAGATGGCCTAGAATCCACAGACGGCCAGTAGGGGTATAACGTGCGTATAATCCAGTCACCCGGGTGACTTCGTGGAGTGCACTGTTTACATCGCTGGGTGTGGAAGCAGCCGCTACGATTGGGTACTTTTGTGGTGTGACTATGACAGAAATTTGCTAAATCGATCTGGGAGATTACTTCTCTGAATAAGGCCTGTTGTAAATATACAAGCTGATCAAGGTCAGTGGAAGTCTCTTTGTCCTTCAGGAAAAAGGGATACTTGTCCCAGAGAGTAATTTCATTTTGATCCATTTTGAGCATAACATCTGGGGGAGACGGGCAACTGTATTTCAGAGTCATTGAAGGTAGTGGCAGAAAGTCCAGGACCAGGACAATTGCCATGGGCAGACAATCAGAGGGACTAGCTATGGGGTGATGACCAGGACACGGAAAAGGGGTGGAGCCAAAGTCAGTCTGAGAGGCTGGGCAGAGGAAGAACCATAGGACTTATAAAAATCAGCTGAACGTGGCATTTAGATGATAAGAAAGTTGAGATATTCAGAGATGGTTCTACTAAGACCTGGGCAGAAGCTATTTTATACTAAATAAATGTTAATTAGAAAACTCTCTAATGGATGTTCTACTTTTTCCCCCTAAAATGAAAATAATCCATTTAAGTAGAGCAATTAGTAGTTTTATTGGATGGTTATGACAAGCCAGTTTAACAACCATCTATTTTATTTTTAAATAGCATAATTGCATAAAATATCATGCCGTTCTCAGTGATTTCATTAGCTACTCCTACTAGAAGGAAGCCTAGCTACTCAGACCGCACCCATATCCAAGTTACTATGGCTTTTCGCGGTAGCTTACCAGAATTAGATATCATTAGGCAGCCTACTGAGTGAATCCTGTAACTCAGCCTTGTAAAGGGGTATAAGCATCACAGAGGACGGAACTCTCCACTTGAGATCCACAAATAGCATAAACGAGTCTCTGGGCTCAGGTAGGTTTCATGCTTCATGGAAGGTAACAAAAACAATTACAAGACCTCTTGGCCATAGATTTTATGACACAGGCAAGAGCAAATGCCATGTGCAATTGGAGTGCTCCAGTAACAGAACTAAGCTTAGTAATAGTAAAAATAACAAAGAATAAATGAAAAATTTCTGTTACCTTATCTTTGTCTGTTGGTGTTAACTACACAGGCACAGATGACTAGCATGCTTCTAAAATTTTTTTTTAAACCTATGCAATATATGTGTGTATAGGACATATACACATATATGTATACAAATAAATGCATTCCTATATGTGTATTGGGGCTTGTATATGCACAGAGTATTTCTGACATAACATACAAGCAACAATGTTTATCGATATTCCCGCTGTTTATCTTGGGGGGGGCGGGACAGAGGACACTACACCAGCAGAGAGGAACAGCTTGACTTTGCATGTGATACTCTTCTGTGGTACTAGAACTTCTTATAAAAAGCACGTTCTACTTTTATAATTTAAAAATCTAAGCATTTAAAATAAAAATGACATGTAAAAAAATAAAACTGCTGCACCCACGTTTTCTAAGACATGGATATTGTGAGGAGTCTAGTCAATAAATTCCAGAAATCCTTTAGGCAAAGAAACTGTTACTAGGTCTAAATGAAAACTACCTACTTGTTGAGTATGTCTCAATGCAAACGGATCTGCCTACGCACTAAGGCCAGCTAGGATGGAAGGATGGGGAACAACGGGTAATGTGAGGCTTTCCAGCATCTGTCACTAGTTTCATGGCTGTGTACTTGCCAGCTAAATTCTCTGTTTCAGAAATTGCATTCATTTTAGGTCATAACCTCTACAGAGGTAACCAAAACTCTCCAAGTGACATTCCCGGCTGTGGTGTTTATTTCATTCCTGGCTTCTGTTCTTTATCAAGTCCTTGAATGTGATCAAGCATAGGTCAACTGGGTTCTTTTTCATTAAATGTGTAATACTGGAATATAAGGCTGCACAAATGACTGCCTTTAAGGTTATATAATGTTGGCTTTTAATAACTCTCCATTTCTCATGCCTCTATCAGTCTAATCTAAAAATGGAATCCCGGAGCAGACAGTGCCACGACATGGAAGGCTCTTCTGAGCCAAACACAGAGGATTGGCAGCTAAGCTAGCGACTCTTGGCAGTACCATCTCAGTTGGTTTTGTAGAAAATTGTATTTCTATAGGTATATAGTTTTATGTCTTTTAAAGTGATGTGGATTTTCAGACCAGGGCCAGACTATTGCTTCTATACTTCCTGATGGCCCATTAGAGGGGATACTACCTACCCTAAGCTGAGTTGGAAACTCCTGAGCACATTCTCTTTGCTCTTTCTAAAGCCCAGGACTGTCACATGCAGTGGCCAATTTTTAAAAAAAGCTACAGGAGGTAGATTTAATGTTGAAGCCATTAAATAGGTCACTGTTCTGATCATTTTTGAGGCTTTTTTTTTTTTTTTGTAAAACCTAAGTTCTCTGGGTGTTTGCCTTGGTCCTATGTCATTCCCCATCAATAACGTAGGACATTAACGTCTTTCTCTTTTTGCTTTGGAACAATTTCCAAATGCACCAGGACCCCTACAGTAGTCATTACCTCATCTATTTCCATATCAAGGATTTACGTATGACTTCAGTTGGAGCTATTTGAATTGGCCCATAGCCACCTGTACCCTCAATTTTCTCTGGGCCGCTCTGAAGCATCACAGAGAAATATGAGATGGTAGTTGATGAAAGCAGAGTCCTTCATCCCAGCAATGGCAGCTGGTAACTGGCTGCATAGCCAAATGCTTGGCTCAATCTAGGGAATGGAAGGCACCATTCAAAGCCAGATTCCAGTCTGTCATAAGGATTATATTTCTGTCCTCACAACATCTCCTTGACAGTCCCACCAACTGGAAAACTCCCAGCAGAAGCCCAGTGATCAAATTCTCCTGGAGCTTTTTTCTTTCTTCTAGCTTCTGGAAATAATCTACTCCAGTCCCTTTTGCCCTCACCAGAAAACCCAAAACATAGTTCCATTTCTAAGACTGAGGTATGGAAATAGATTACTCACAACCAACCCATTCTCCCACAGCTGGAAATAATGCCAACAATTTGATTTTGAAACAACTAAAGACAGACTTAGACCCCATCCACTGAGAGGCTATTCCAACCTAATACAGTATATATCATCTTTGTACTTTCAAAATGATACGTGACCAAAAGTGGTTCAGACAAGCAAGGCATCACCACTGGAGCTTTAAATTAAATGTAGAGAGACAGTCATTTATGTTTACATGCAGAAACACTAGGGAAACACTTTATGTCTAAGAACTAAATGGAAGAAAGCTCAGAAGACATCGATTTAGTTTAAAGCAAAAAGGTCACCCACTTTCACTTTTGCCTTATACCCAAGTCAAGTAGATATTTTCAGTGAAAGAAGACTTTTTCTCCTGATACTTTAGTTATCATAGAGTCCTTAATAGAGGTGCCTGTAAGTACCAATGATCCGTGGCAGGATTAGAAGCTGTAATTCTACTGCCAGCAAGATGTTCCTGGCTAGACTCCCACAGTAGTCTGCACTAAGAACATTCCGGTAGGGGAAACAGAAAAAAGAATATATTTGACCACCCTGTACATGAGATATGGGGCTATAGTGCCATCAGGTGTGACCTTGGAACCTGACAAGTAGTAGGTGAGGCATCCATCAGAAAGATCCAGGCATCTCGGAAATCTGGCAGTGGAACTCATAAAACAAGGCTTTGTCCTTGGGACAAGGCTTACTTGGGGTAATGAAAACCAAAACCTTAGAAGGAAAGCCTAAAATGGGCCCCCTCTCACCACTGTACCTGAATCTTTTAGCCTCTGTGCAACATTCCAGCGACTGTTTTCTTGCTTAAGTGAGTTATTTTGACATATGTTGCTACTTTTGCTTTTGCTGTTTTATTTCCAGTCGATTAGCCTGCTTTCTATTATCAGTCAAAAAAGCCTAAAAGTAAACGCTGTCGTAGCGCTCCATTTCCTGTAACCACAGTTCCCACACATGGTTTTCTGCTCTGCAATTTCAGCAGCACTTAAAATTGAGTGGTTCTGCAAACTAGCTGTGGGCCTTTGTTGAATCCATTGCTCATCTCTATTGCAGCAAAAGGCAAAGATGGCTACATGTAGGCAGTACGGAGCTGGACCAACAGCCCAAGCTGAACCGGCCCTCCGTGGCTATCGGCAACAGCCCTGCCACCTGGGTTGACCCCTGGGTCCCCTCTCTGAGGTACCTCTGAGCCCAGACAACTCCCATGCCACCTTGCCACGCCTCAGAGATATTGCACACAAGCTGACATTATTTCTGTGGCACTCCCCAGCTCCTGTATAACGAAAAGGGATTAAGGAGGGGGAGAGGAGACATGCAAAGGTCACTAAGTAGTCTCGGTATGTTTAGTCTTGGAAATGGAAGCGGTCTGACGCTTATATTTTTGCAGGACAGCCAGAGGGTTTGAAAAGACCTTCAGAGTCTTCTGGTCTCCAAAGGCTGAATGTAAAGAGAACCGATCATATCATATTTTTTAAATTGATGGGTCATTACAGGAGAATTGTGCGGTACAGGGGAAAGGTGAATGCATAGGGGGCGGAGGGAGCAGTGCCATTTATACAAACATCCTTGGATCTTTAAAATAAATTATACAGGTGAACACAGAAGTTCATGCTACTTGCTGGAAGCAATAAGGATCGAATTTTGTGGAATCTGTATTCCACAAATCTCCAGGTATCCTGCCTCGTCCTCAGTGGGCTATCATGTTCTGTTGTACATCTTGGTAGCCCTTAAAACTGGTGGCATGGTCTCAGATAGATTCTTGCAGGAGAGAGACAGATTTATGGATTCCATCAGCTTCTTCCAGGGGAGCTGCCCAATCACCAGGAGGGCACAGGTGATATGCTCGTTCAGATTCTCTCAGCCTGTCTACCAGGGTCAAACAGCAGTTTCCAGGTCCTCATGGCCAATGATCTTATAGTTCTGGCGGCTTTCTAGGTAGGCTGCCAAATCCGGGTCCCCGGCCTGCTGTGCTCTCTCTTGAGGTGTCTTACCCTGTAGGTAACAGTGAAAAGGAAAGAGACACAAACACTTGGGATAAGATTTTTTTTTAAAAAAATCATAGAAACAGAGCTACTCAAAGATGACTTGCTAAAAAGGATCTTTCCACGTTTGCTGTTTTAGAATTGATGAGACACTTAAAGATCTATTATTTGACAGATGCAGCTCATCAAACATGTGAGGTGCGCAAGCTCAAGAGAGACGATCACTTTTCAGAGGTGGGGTTCCATCAAAGGAAAGGGAGGCTCACAGAGTAACCAGGTACACAGCAGCGAACTGCGTGGCACAGTGAGTTTGGGAACCCAGATCCTTTCTGGAAGGGGGACAGAAATCACTGAACAGAAAAGCAGGGAAACGGGCATTCTGATTTCTAGTTTGGAACTCTTTCTGTTATACTAAACCCTGGGAAGTAACAAGCAGAAACAAAGAGGAAGGGATGGTCAGAAACAATCTAAAGGGGTTTCTTTGTTGGTTTTGAAGTCTTCAGTTAGGTTCTCCCCAATTTAGAACTGTCTTATCTCTCCAAAAAGTAAGTTAATTTCTGACAATAAAAGTGATGGGTGTTGATTAAAGCAAGAGGGAGGAGATATGGGGATATATTGTATATGTATAGCTGATTCACTTTGTTATAAAGCAGAAACTAACACACCATTGTAAAGCAATTATACTCCAATAAAGATGTTTAAAAAAAAAAAAGTACCAGAAAAAAAAAAATCTTGGGAAAGTAGAAAAGCATAAGAAAATAAAAATCACCAGTAATTCCACTATAGTAAGATAACTGCTGTTAACCTTCCATAGGGTAACTATTTTATCATCTTTTTTGTATAGCTCTACGCATAATTATTTTTATGAAAATGAAACCATACTTTGTTTACATACTGTTAGGTAATGTGCTTTTGCACTTAATAATATATCAGACCTTTCTACGTCATGAAATGTTCTTCTGCATCATTTTAAATGATTGTATAACTTTTTGCAGTCTATTATGTTACACGTATATTTATATACACACAATATTTTTGAAATGAGGCCAATGAACAGCAGTCAGCAGTAAAAGGAGGAAAGGTCTCCATTCTTTTGAATGTTTACAGACATTACTTCACACTCCTTGACGCTTCTAATTTTTGTTCAATGATATCTATTTTAAAATATTGTTTTTTAAAATCAATTTTTATTGGAGTATAGTTGATTTACAATGTGTTTGTTAGTTTCTGCTGTACAGCAAAGTGAATCGGTTATACGTATACATATATCCACTCTTTTAGATTCTGTTCCCATACAGGTTACTACAGAGTACTGAGTAGAATTCCCTGTGCTAAACAGTAGGTCCTGATTGGTTATCTATTTTATACCTAGTAGCGTGTCTATGTCAATCGTAATCTCCCAATTTATCCCTCCCTTTTCTCCTTGGTAACCATAAGTTTGTTTTTTACAACTGTGACTCTAGTTCTGTTTTGTAAATAGGTTCATTTGTACCATGTTGTTAGATTCCACATATAAACGATATCATATGATATTTGTCTTTCTGCGTCTGACTTACTTCACTCAGTATGACAATCTCTAGGTCGATCCATGTTGCTGCAAATGGCATTATTTCGTTATTTTTTATGGCTGAGTAATATTCCATTGTATATATGTACAAAATGGCACTGAGTTCTAAGGAAAGGGTAGAGGCATGATCATTGCACCAAAGTAATAGCTCCACGTATAAAAATGCACACAAGCATTACAAAAATTATCAAACACTTCTCAGCCTCCATCTCATCTAAGGCTGATCCTAGTAGCCTACAAGGGGATATGGAGTAGAAGATAGAAGGGAAGTAACAATGGCTCTAGACTCTTTCTAAAATTTTACTTATTTAGTTGGGATTTAATATTTAACCATAGCTTCAAGTTCCTATAATAATTTTATTCAACTTGGTTACAGTATTTGTAGATTATCTTGTCTTCAATGTTAATGAGGTTGGGATTCCCAATTTCCAAATATTCAGAGAGATGGACTGGGGTGGGCCTCTGAGTTGATTTTTAAGGAGCCATTCCCTATTAAGAGAAATTCTCAAAATATTGCTTCTCTTCAAAAATTTCCAGAAGAACAACCAGTCATAATTATCATATTCAGCTTTCACCTAGCAAAAAATTATGGAATGGAAAAATTACAGGATCCCCGAAAAGGATGAAGCTCTATTACTTCATAAGGTAGGATCTATAAAACAAAATGTTGGGTGAAAGTTTATACAATAGCATGTACGGTATGACTTTTTACCTACTTGAAGAAAATGAGAAAAGTAGACGTACCCACATGTGGGGAGAAATCATTAAAGCTTTAATGGTATATAGGTCTAGATTGTGGGATTTCTAGTCATTTTTACTTAAAAAAATTTTTTTTGCATTGCTAGAGTTTTCTATGTGAGAATGCACTATATTTATCATAAAAGTAATAAATTTTTTTGCATTTGGAAAGAGCACATACATATGTAACACAAAATAGAAAGGAATCTCAAGGAACATTGAGCCCATTTACTTGATTCAGAAACTTAGATTAAAAAAGAGCCATCTGGGCTTCCCTGGTGGCGCAGTGGTTGAGAGTCTGCCTGCCGATGCAGGGGACAGGGGTTCGTGGCCCGGTCCGGGAAGATCCCACATGCCGCGGAGCGGCTGGGCCCGTGAGCCATGGCCGCTGAGCCTGCGCGTCTGGAGCCTGAGCCCCGCAATGGGAGAGGCCCGCGTACCGCAAAAAAAAAAAAAAAAAAAAGAGCCATCTGCTCTGGGGCCGGGTTTCCTGGCCAGTCTTTTATTCGTCCCTCATCTTGTTCCTCCCTTCTCTTTTATCACCTGAGTTGAGACCAGTCTCTGTGTGGCAAACAGGCAATGGCCCTGCTGTGTCTGAGTGGCCCCAGCAAGGAAGGCCAAGTCCACCTCGGATCATGGCCTCAGCTGGTCCTACCATGGGTTGTATTTCTCAATCAGGTTACACATCAAACCACCTAAGTGCAAATATCATCTGGGAAGAATATCACAGTGAATAATCTGGAATCCTACACCCAATTAGCTAACCAGATAGGTAACAGACCAGCTAGAAACCAGGACCCAGCTTAACGAATTTGATAGCCTAGTGCTATCAGAATTAAGGCAGCCAGGGACCTCAGTCAGAGAGCAAGGATCTGGTGGTTCGCAAGGAAAGTGGAGAATCAAGCAAGGCACCTGGCTCAGAAAGGAAAGAAAGGTCCGCATGTCACAATGTACACTGCAGTTGGAGGAGACCCCAGGGTGAAGACTGCATATAAGTAGGGGCTCATCACTTAAATGAATCTAATGGGGCTGAAGTCATCAGTAGGCTTCTAAGTAATTTGTCTCTGTTTCTTGGCTGCATTCACTGACCCCAAACTTAGGTTATTTAGTACCCACTTAATGAAATCCTCATCTACATATTAAAATTCTTCTCTGTAACCTTCTACAGTTAAGTGGCTTGTCCTTTCTTGGAGCCTACCCAGGGTGCTTTAAAACCCTCAGAGCTGACCATGATCATGACCTCAGATCATCACAGAGAAGTCCTCCCTGGGGTTGATCTTCTGTATGAACTCTTCTCTCTGCCCATCCTGGGAGCGATTGGTCATCACTTTGGCACCCATATATGGGGCCACATAAATCATGGGTTTTAAGCTATCCTGGATTAAGTAGCTGAAGGAGAAATTCCAAAGGGGCTTCTCGGTAGCCAGGCCAATATCTTTTGCACCTGGTCCCGACCCTTCTAGTGCTTTGCACCTCACCCTCTCCACACTTGGCTGCTGGCAGCCAGCAGAAGAAGCCCAAAGTCCAAAGGTCAACGCGTTCAGAGGTCTATAAGTCCCTTAGGCAAGCACACACCCTCCCTTTGTGCTTATACATTTAAACTGCAGTTTCTCTAAATGAAACACTTCATTTTTTTCCTCCTTTTTCCAAAGCCCCAGGCACTTCCATAAGTACAGAAAGGATGCCTTTGCTACGGGCACAAGTGAAGGCAGTGGTGCCAGAGATCTTGCCCCGTGGGAGGATGCTTGCACTCACTCATCAAGTTACCTTGGAGTCCGTCTTTCTCAGAGATGCTCCTGCATCCACCAGAAGCTGGCACACAGCCCGGTTCCGCTGGCAAGCTGCCTTGTGCAGTGCGGTCTCACCCCTAAATCAAAGATGAAATGAGAAAAGGGTTGGAGGCAGGAGCGAGAGTAGGGTAGAGGCAGCAGGGAGGCAGCACGGAGGGAAGTGAGGGTAGCATCCTCCCCTTGCTGCTCATGTTCTGTGCCCCTCGGCCGCTTTCCCTATCATCTGTGGGTGAGACCACGGCTGCAGGGCATGGCCAGGGGAGGTAGGTGAGGGGCTTAGTCATCCACCAACCCTAATATCTGACTCCAGCCTCTTTTTCAAACAGTGTTGGCTGGTCAAGTAGGCTGAGTGATTTTGTTTTAAGCGACTACTGTCTGATTTAAGTAATACCCAATGGCCCTATGAAATAGACTGATGGGTGTAGATGTGTCTGAACAGTGTGGAGCCACTCTCTCTGTGTAGTCACGTGGGCAGGGCAGGAGCCACCTAGATGGTGCACACACAGGAGCAGCGATGGAGGACCACAGCACAGTGCTTGGTAGACCATCTGGCCCCGGGAGGAGTATCTCCTGGAAACCCAACTTCAAAGACCCAGGAGATACCCACTCTGCTCTACCTGCTGATTCCTGGTGAGTGGCAGGAGGGGGACAGCCACAGAAGATACCTGGGAGGGATGGTAAGACTCTGGGAGGGTTCCGCAACCACAGCTGCCCCACTGGGCAGCAGGTCAGCCATCAGTGTGGGGAACAGTCAAGGCAAAGTGGCTATTTCCCCCACCCCCACAGGCAGTACAGGGAGGAGGACATTCCCATTCTGAGTCTGAAATTGAAAAGACACTTAATGCCAAAGTGTTTATGGAAAATCAAATGTGGTCCTTAGGCAAACTGGGGTGAGTGATAACCTTGCCAATGGGATTTGCGGTACGTGGACAAACTCTGTGTAGCAAGGGACAGTTTCTCCCTTGTCAGTAAATCCTGGTTAAATCCTTCCTACTTGTCCTCCTCCATCTCTCCTTAGCCCCTCCCCACACTCCACCCTGCCCACTCTTTATCCCTTTTCAAATTTCACTGGCGTTCTTTAGAGGCTCAACATGGCTTCCAGGGTTAAATGCTTAGCTTTTCTTGTTTCTGTTTGGGGAATAGTAGCTATTTTGGCGCCTGGGAATGAGAAAGTTGAAAACATTATCAGTCTGGCAACCATCCACAGAGCTGGTGACTTTCTCAACCAGGGTTTCTCTTCTGAAGCACAAAACATGGAAATGGTTGGAGGTACTATGTTCTTGGTTCTCCAGTGGTTGTATAACTTGTCCCATCTAGACTCAGCACAGAGAAATTGTTTCACTATACAAAAAGGATGCCTTAGGGCATTAGGGCTTACTTTTCTTATAAACCTCACTTGAGGAAGAGTAAATGTGATGGGTAATTAAGAGGTAAGTGCATTAATTTAGACTTCTCTGTAGTTCAAGGTGCATCAAAGCAGAAGTACCTCACTTGAAGGAAGTTCTAAATGATGACCAGCAACAGCTACATGTGCAACCATCATGACAGGTGCCATCTATTTTTATTGTGTATTCTTTGATTTAGAAGATTAGCCCTGCACAGTTATAAATACAACTGAAAGTAGACACTTCTTATCACTGACATTACAATTATCAATTGTATGCCCTAGAGGCTACATTCTTTTCCTAGATATGTTCTCAAGATTATCACTGACATTACAATTATCAATTGTATGCCCTAGAGGCTACATTCTTTCCCTAGATATGTTCTCAAGAAGATAATCTAGACCACATAATGTAAGGCAACACTCACGTTTCGCTGTCTGCCATATCCAATAACTCATAAGGTCCTAAAGAAGAGGAAAGCAAGATGTCCATCAAAAATAGTTCAAAAACTAACCATTAACAAAAAATTATAGTCACAGAATTAAAATGCCTTGGGAAGCTGAATAAGAAAGAGTATTTGGTGACAGGGATAATAAGACCACCTCCCTTCCAAAAGAGAAAGGATCCCTCTACCTATCCCCCATCAATCTCTCAATCATCACCAGGCAGTATGTACAGAATGGGAGATAAAAATAATGATATGGCCTCTGCCTTCAAGAAGCTTTCAAACAAGTTGAAGAATAGAATAAATGAAAAATAATCAAGTGCCTACCTAGTGGGGGGAAGGGAGAATCAGATGGACTTTAAAGACCATTTTTCATTCTCCAGCAGCAGGTGGTTTGGGATGTAATCTTATTTAGTATAGCATGAAAGCTATGAGACCATATTATTAAGTGTCCCTTTCTCTGACATAACACAGCAAATTACACTAAGTCAAGATATTAACCAGTCCAACCTCTTTGTTTTAGAAATGGGGTAAAATTCTATTTTTCATGAGATTTCCCTTCCAAAACCTGGAAGAAATGTTATATATAAACACCAAATGATTATAGATGCTTGATCAGGAATTAAAATGTTCTGTGCTTGCACATTCACAATTTCTCATTTGTTCACTAATTTATTCATTCAACCTGCAAACACTGCTAGGAATGTTCACCTTTCCCCCCAACCCTTCACACAATTCCTTACCGGCAGGTATCAGCTGACACAGATTTTCTCCACAAAGCCCTCTATCTCCCCACTCCTAATACTGCATTAAATGTCATTCCTTTGTGTTACCTTACTTTGTGCACTAACCCCATTTCCTAAAATGGTGGGGGGTGGGGGTAATAATAATTAATCGTCCAAATTGAGACTATCCCTGACAAGTAGGTATATATGATCACCTTACCAATCACTCATGGCGCTTGTCAAGCCATGTTAAAATCACCTGCTGACTTGTCTCTCTCCACAACTAGACTCTGGAAAGCCCCTTGAAGTTGTGGCCAATGTCTTGTCCACTGTGTCCTTCCTTGGTGACTGGCATGGAGCCTGGTGCCAAGCAGAGGCTTAAATGTTTGGTTGAATTAATGAATAAATGTGTTTGGAAGGGTCAAACACAGCTCTAGGTATTGAGCACTGTAAACTTTAGAAGTATGATCCTGGTGATTTGCTCTCCATATGGGCAGATATCATTATCATTGAGCATTTATTTATGTAACTAACTACTTACTACATAATTAGAAGACAGTCAGTCCTAACATCATCTTCCCTAACTATGAAAGTCATTGGTCAGACACTGATGAAAGAAACTGAAGATGACATGAACAGATGGAAAGATACACCATGTTCTTGGATTGGAAGAATCAATATTGTTAAATGACTATACTACCCAAGGCAATCTACAGATTCAATGCAATCCCTATGAAATTACCAATGGCATTTTTCACAGAACTAGAACAAAAATTTTACAGTTTGTATGGAAATAAAAAAGACTCCGAATAGCCAAAGCAATTTTGAGAAAGAAGAGCAGAGCTGGAGGAATCAGGCTCCCTGACTTCAGACTATACTACCAAGCTACAGTAATCAAAACAGTTTAGTACTGGCACAAAAACAGACATATAGTTCAATGGCACAGGATAGAAAGCCCAGAAATAAACCCACGCACCTATGGTCAATTAATCTATGACAAAGGAGGCAAGAATATACAATGGAGAAAAGACTCTCTTCAATAAGAGGTGCTGGGAAAACTGGACAGCTACATGTAAACGCTTGAAATTAGAACATTCTCTAATACCATATACAAACATAAACTCAAAATGGATCAAAGACCTAAATGTAAGAACAGATACTATAAAACTCCTAAAGGGAAACATAGGCAGGACACTCTTTGACATAAATTACAGCAATATCTTTTTGGATCTGTCTCCTAGAGTAATGGAAATAAAAACAAAAACAAATGAGCCCTAATTAAACTTAAAAGCTTTTGCACAGCAAAGGAAACCATAAACAAAATGAAAAGACAACCTCCAGAATGGGAGAAAATATTTGCACACAATAAGACCGACGGGATTAACTTCCAAAATATACAAATAACTCATACAGCTCAATATCAAAAAACAATCCAATCAAAAAATTGGCAGAAGATATAAACAAACATTTCTCCAAAGATGACAAATGGCCAACAAGCACATGAAAAAATGTTCAACATTGCTAATTATTAGAAAAATGCAAGTCAAAACTACAGTGAGGGGCTTCCCTGGTGGCTCAGTGGTTGAGAGTCCGCCTGCTGCTGCAGGGGACACGGGTTCGTGCCCCAGTTCGGGAAGATCCCACATGCCGCGGAGTGGCTGGGCCCATAAGCCATGGACGCTGAGCCTGCGCGTTCGGAGCCTGTGCTCCGCAACGGGAGAGGCCACAACAGTGAGAGGCCTGTGTACCGGGGGCGGGAAACTACAGTGAGGTATCACCTCACACTGGTCAGAATGGCCATCATTAAAAAGTCTACAAATAACAAATGCTGAAGAGGGTGTGGAGTAAAAGGAACCCTCTTGCACTGTTAATGGGAATGTAAATTGGTACAGCCACTGTGGAGAACAGTATGGAGGTTCCTTTTTTTTTTTTTGGCGGTATGCGGGCCTCTCACTGCTGTGGCCTCTCCCGTTGCAGAGCACAGGCTCTGGACGCACAGGCTTAGCGGCCATGGCTCACAGGCCCAGCCACTCCGCGGCATGTGGGATCTTCCCGGACCGGGGCACGAACCCGTGTCCCCTGCATCGGCAGGCGGACTCCCAACCACTGCACCACCAGGGAAGCCTGGAGGTTTTTTTTTTTTTTTTTTGGAGGTTCCTTAGAAAACTAAAAATAGAGCTACCGTGTGATCCTGCAACCCCACTCCTGGGCATGTATCCAGAGAAAACTGTAATTTGAAAAAATACATGCACCCCAGTATTGTACTATTTACAATAACCAAGACATGGAAGCATTCTAAATGTCCATCGAGAGATGAATGGATAAAGAAGATATGGTACATATATACAATGGAATGCTACTGAGCCATACAAAAGGATGAAATAATGCCATTGGCGGCAACATGGATGGACTTAGCGATTAAGTGAAGTCAGAGAACGACAAATGCCATATGATATCACTTATATGTGTAATCTAAAAAAAGAGATACAAATGAACTTATTTATAAAACAGAAACAGGCTCAGAGATATAGAAAACAAGCTTATGGTTACCAAAGGGGAACGGGGTGGGAGGGATAAATTAGGAATTTGGGAGTAAACTATACATGCTGCTGTATATAAAACAGGTAAACAACAAGGACCTACTGTATAGCACAGGGAACTACACTCAGTATTTTGTAATAACCTATATGGAAAAAGAATCTGAAAAAGAATATACATATATATATATGTATGTATGTATAACCGAATCACTTTGCTGTACACCTGAAACTAGCACAAAGTTGTAAATCAACTAAATTTTAATAAAAAATAAAGAGAAAAAAGAAAATGTTCTGTGTACTGAACATCAAAAAAAAAAGAATGAAATGTCATTTGCAGCAACATGAATGGACGTAGAGATGATTATACTGAGTGAAGTAAGTCAGACAGAGAAAGACAAACATACGATATTGCTTATACATGGAATCTAAAAAAAAAAAAGATACAAATGAACTTATTTACGGAACAGAAATAGACCCACAGACATAGAAAACAAACTTATGGTTACCAAAGGGGAAAGGGGGCAGGGAGGGATAAATTAGGAGTTTGGTATTAACATATATATACTACTATATATAAAAGAGATAACAAACAAGGACCTACTGTATAGCACAAGGAACTCTACTCAATATTTTGTAATATTGAAAAAGAACATATGTAGAGAGATATATAGATATATATCTGGATCACTGTGCTGTATACCTAAAACTAACACAATATTGTAAATCAACTATATTTCAATTAAAAAAAATGTCATTGGGTCAAGGAGAAAGGGGACTTTCACAATCCTCCTGGTCATCCAGGAGCTAAATCGCCAACTGTACCTCCTCTCTTTCCCATCTACTGGTCATCAAGGCTGGGTGAATCTTCTCTTGCACTGTCTGTCCTATTTGTTGCTCCTACGTGTCCTATTTGACAAATAAGCTTCCTAAAAGGTCTCTGTCAGGAACATATTAGCATGCAGGACTGTCACTAAGAAAACATAAAAAAGATCTTGCAACATCCAGATTTCCAGGTTTTAAATTCATCATACGTCCCGTGTCACCCCAGGTATTTCAACATTGAAGCTCACGGTCTTTCACTTGGAACTACCCTTCCTCAGTTTGTTCTCAGGGCTCCATTGCTTTTGCATAAGCTAAACTGATAGCTGCACAATCACCCAAATGTTTCTCAGGCTCTCCCAGCTGTGAGAGCTTGCTCTCTCCAATCTTGCTACCCAGAGAGGGATTTTCTACCCACACACCTAAATCTTACACATTCTTTACAGACCAGTCTGTGAAAAGGTCCTCTGAAAAGGCCACCTTTAACAGATGGAATCAACCTGTCTTCTCTTTGACAAAAGGAATCAATCAACAGAAGAACTCCCATAATACTTACTGGAGTCTACCCTTGTACTATGTGTTTGCTTTTCAAATGTATGCCTCATCTCCTTAAATAAATTATTCTACATCTTTTAAATGTAAGAACACTTGGATTATTTTTCGTATCCTTCTAGCGTGTTCCCTATTTTACAGGTTCAACGAGGATTCAGTTCATTCATTTTTGTTCCTCAGTCCTGTGATTCTAACGAAACATGAATGATAATCCACCCCCTCCCCGCCCTGTACCCCCTGAAGTGCCAAGCACAGTGATTAAGAGTGAGGGTTCTGGAGCTGAACCTCCTTGGTTTCAAATCCCAGCTGTATCTTCCACTCACTAGATCTTGGGCAAGTTCATTTCATTTCTCAGCCTCTTGATTGTCACACATGTAAATCAG